TGGGATCTGGCCTAGAATACCGACATCAACGTCAGTGAGATCTGGCCGAAATCGAACCTATTTCGGCCAGATCTTGGGTATATTTTAATGGAAATGGGCTCAAGGGACGATTGGGGTTGCATCTAGGGTGTCGCTACAGCTAATCAGTCACCGGTCGATTTGCAGTTGGGGTGTGTTTGATAAATTTCAAACCTATAGGGACTTACCGAAGTTTTAGGGGTATATTTGCTGAATTTTAAAAGTTTTTATCAACCGGTCAACCCGGGACCTAGAAGCTTTGCTGGGTTTCACCACGGGTTGGGTTTTAAAACATTGTCCAATACTTTATTTCTCGTCTGACCCAAAAAAAAAAAAAAAAAACTTTATTTCTGGTTATTATTGCCTTTACACCATCATTAAAATTTAAAAATACAGAAAGCAGAAAATAATAATAAAAAATATAAGAGTTAAACATAAACCTGAAGTATGATATCATATCGAACTCCTAGTAAGGTTTCTGAAATAACAAACGGTGCGTTTGGTTTATTATTTCATATCCTATTCTCAATCTTATTCTAAAAATAACTGTTTGTTTAATTATTTAGGAAATACTATTATATTTTTTTAATTAGTTTTAGGCCCCTTAAGTTTATTAATTTCATTAAACATATCCCAAAAAAAGTTTAAAAATTAACAAAAACACCCCCACCTACCCATAGTTGTCAGATTCCGGAAACCACCGTTGGTGGTAGCCGAAATCTGTCACAACGGCCTACAAAAGACCGAAAATGGCCGGTAATTCACCGATCTAACTTTTTTCGGTCATATCCACAGTGGATCTAGCCGAAAAAGGCTAGATCTGGCCATTAACGACGGCCAAAGATATGGTCGTCTTTGTCGGTCAACGACGGCCAAGAGACGGCCAGATCTGGCCTTTTGCGGCCATTGACTGCCAGATCTGGCCTTTTCCACGGATCTGGCCGGAAAAGGCCAGATCGACGCACGTCCAACCAGATCCGACCGGTCTGCGTCGTAATGTCAAATTTCGACCAGATTCTGAAGATGGTGGCCGGAATCTGGCATTGTGGGTGGGTGGGTGGGGGTGTTTTTGTCATTTTACAAAAGTTTTATATATTGGGGTGTTTAGTTAAATTAGCAAACCTAGGGGGGTTTTTGTTAATTTTTAAATTTTACCTTGTAATAATCACACTATTCAACTATTCAATATTATTTTCAAAATCCTATCCAAAATAACAAACCAAACGAACCCAAAAATCTCTCTTCCATTAATAAACTGTTAAAATTTACATTGTTATCATTTAATAAATATTATTAAATTACCTTCTTATCATCTAAACACCTAAAATTTAACAGTTAAAAGATTTCTAATATTTTCAGAACCTCAGAGATTTTTATTATTTTATAATACGTAGACCTGGCAAACGGGCGAGCCGAGTAACCATCGGTACGGGTTAAACGAGTATGGGTCAAACAGGTAAACATTGTGAACAAGTAAGAAAATGCAACACCCATACCCGGTCAGGTGGGCATAGGTGGACCTGTGGGTCAACTCTTTTCTTTCTATCGCTCTCTCTCTCTCTCTCTCTCTCTCTGTTTTCCTTTGTTCTGTTCTCTACATAATCTTCTTCAAAAAAAAAAAAAAAAAAATTTAAAATCCAAAAAAAAAAAAAAAAATTTAAAATCCGGTCCATCTTCTCAAAAATCGTACTCCAGCACACAAGCCACAGCACCACTACACTTATCGGACTTCAAAGCACTACACTAGAAGTTCCACCACCATAAAAGAAACCAGTCTACAAAAATAAAATAAAATTAAAAAATCAATCCAATTCACCACTGTCACATCAAAATTCATTCACTCATAATATCCAATTTCAAATTAAAAAAAAAAATTCCAAAGAAAGAATAGTCAGTCACCAGGGCAGAATTTTCTTTTTAGTTTGGATTTGAGATGAGCTGGACAGAGGAAAATGCACAATAGAGCAAGAGAGCAGAAAAGGAAACAATGGCGTTGGATAGTGAAGAAAAGGCAAGATATTGTTGGAGAAAAGAATCCAGCAATGGAGCTAAGAGAGAAGGAAAGGAAAAAAAAATTTCAACCCTTTTCTATGAACCTGCCACTTTTCAATGTTTGTGCGGGTACTTGTGGGCTAGTTAGTAAATTCACAAATTTTCGTATTTTATCAGTCTAACTGTATTATTCACGAACTATATGCCTCAAACGTTTTATTCGTAAATTATTCCCGTATCCAATTTTTTGCCAAATTTTTACAAATGTATTTTTCACCATTTGTTGTATCATACCCATAAAATTCTCGTACCCGTATATTTGAAATGATATATTGATTTTAACTAGGTGGTCCATAAAAAGTGCTAAAACCAGAATTGATATTATCGTCTTTTTCAAAACGTATTATTGACAATGTGTCGTATTAAACATGTATATACATGTACCGTATTTTTCTTGTATCAGAACTTTATAGCCAAATTTTTACAAACGTATTTTCACCCCTTTGTCGAATCATACCCATAAAATTCCCATTATCCTTATTTACTAACTGGGCCCGTGGGTATCACCTAGCCCACAATGTGAAAATAACAGATGGGCTAGGTACGAGTAATGATCCCACGAGTCCTAAATATATTAGTCTGTACCCGCAAAAAGTAACCATCGATTCGTAGGTGCGAGTCCCGTGTTTCCAAGTCTAATCATACCCCAAGGATTAATGTCACTAACTCTAATAATAAGAATAATAATAATAATAGTAATAATAAAAAAGAATGAAAATTAATAAGTTGATCCACTAAACTTTTATGTGAACCTTCCCAAGCCTAAGAAATCAATAGCAGTACACAGTTTTAAATATACAATGTTCCTAACTCTGAGATTTTACACCATAGGGAGAAAAGGAAAAAAATAAGTGGAATAATTGAATCAACAAATTTGGATCCACTTCACATCACAGCTTTTAACCAACTTTCAAAAGTAAATTTCCCCCATTGCTCTTCAACTTGATTGATGCTTGCAACTAGACCTAGCAAAAGGGGTCCGCACCCACGGATCGACCCTAAACCTGGGTAAAAAATATAGGGTGTGGGTCTTTAATATTGGACTTGTTTTTTCTCGACCTATACTCGGCCTAGCCTGTTTTGCCAATGGGTGAAGCGGGTACACCCGTGGGTACCTGTTTGTTTTAAAAAAAAAAAAAAAAAAACCCTTTTCCCTTTTCATTTTGCCCCAAATCACGAAATCCCTAACCTAACTCAAATTCACTCTCTCTCATTAGCCTTCTCTCAAACTCATCGTCATCAAAATCCCTAACTCCATTATCGCCACTTCTCCTGTCTCCGCTCTCATCAACCACATCTACAGTCTCCATTGTCGACGCATCAAGGTATGTGTATCACTGTCGCCGATTTGATCTCATCTCCTTTTTCTTCACTCTTCACTCTTTAGCAGCTCCAATTCTTGGAGTCAATTCTCCGGCGTCTTTAGCTTTTCCTCGGCTACAATCTAGTAACATTGAAGGTTGCTCTTCTTGCTTTATTCTTACCGTTCTACAGAGAACAGATGTTAATCAACATGTTTGTTTGTATTCTTTTGGAAACCATTGTAACATGAATCAAACTAAATCTAGAAGTTTTTCTAATTTGTCTTGTCTCCGTTTCCTGTACTTAGTAGCTACTTTCTAGCTTGTGCCGCTGTTGCTTTTCTTGTGCAAGTTTTTTCTTTTTTTCAAATTTTTTATGGGGCTTATTTGGTTGCTGAGGAATGAGAGGACAATCAGTAAAGTTTTTATCTTTTTCTTTGCTAGGTTATAGGTTTCTGTTTGGTTGGTGAGTAAACTTGGGAGAAAATAATGTAAGAGACTTTTTTTTTTTATTGGGCTTTTGTGTGTATATGGTTTTGGTTCGTGATTGACAGCTCAGAAAACTTGGGGAAAAGATTCTAAATTGTGGGGAAAAAGAAAAGAGATCATATTGATTTATTTAAATCTTGTTTTAGCTGAGTTGTTAATTTGCGTACATCAAAATTAATTATTTAGAATTTCAATTATTTTTTTTTATGTTAAAGGATTCATTTTACATCTAAAATTGGGGATTAGAGATTTTTATTTGGTTTAATATGATTCTCCTTATTCTTTCTGATGATAATTTGAATGATAATAGAAATTTGGATATGTTTTTTGTGAACTAAAACTATATTGGGAATAAGAGAATTTTTGTTTGGACCTAAGGAAGACAATTTTTCCTCAAAATTTTAGGAAGATTTGGGGGTGTAACTGCAAAAATTTAAAACTGGAGTGAACAAATAGATACCCGCGAGTCCACCGGTACAATAGACCTGTTTTGGGCCTGCACCCGTTTAGACCCAACCCGTACTCGACCCACCCGCCCGTTTTGTTAGGTCTACTTGCAACTGCCAATTTCCTGGTTATAAATGTAGTTTGTGGCTTTAAAGAATAATTTATCACACAATAAGCTTGAGCTTAAAATTTATCATTCGAGTCATGATATGATATATGATATAAAGCAAAAATTAACAAAATTATAACAGAAAAAAAGGACACATTACATTCTTACAATCTCAAATCATTCAAGCTTCTCAATGTTAGATGGTTTCTCACACTATTATTTATACTATTTCCATAATATGTAGGATACATGATCTTTATCATCACTCTCCATTTCTAGCCTACAAGGACTCTCTCATTTTCTCAGTTTTTGAGATTTTCATTTTTTTAAAGATTTGGCATTCTTGTAGTGGATACTTATCTATCAGTTTAAATATATATTTCATTTCATTACACTATCAAAAGTAAATGCCTTTATTATAGACACTAATTAAAAGAAAAGTAACGTGAATGTAATGCATACTTGCTTTTTTGTGGGCGTCCAACAACTGTGAACACAAAAAACATAAAATTTAATGTTGCAATTGGGAGGATCTCATTAAGAAGGTTGCCAACCAACATAAGAAAAGAACCACCAAAGGAGACTAAAAACAAATTGTAAACCTTAAAAATAATAATAATGACACTCATGTAACTGTGTTTTAAACCTAAATATAAAAGAACCACACCTTTCGATTTTCTGCTGTAAACAGCAACAGACATGCTTCACTGTCTGTAACTGAATCAAGGAAAGCGCCCATCGCAAACCACAACTTTGAATAAAAATAGTTGCCCACTCCCACTTATAACAAACTTCACTTTCTAAAACTTAAAAATCAGTCAACATAATCCCCCTCAGAAAATGCCAATGACCAAAGCAACAACACTAGGCTAAAGATAAGAGACTCCAAAAATGACCCACATCAGCATTGCGGCCTTAAAGATACGAAGCCACAACTTAAAGACTATGGAATAGTCAAGACGAAGATGATTGATGATCTCCCCTTCAATTGTACACATACCACACCAGTGAATACAAGGACCTTAGTCCACCTTTTTTGGACAATGTTATGTGCTATTCTACCCAAAGCTACCCATGATAATATTTAAATCCTGTTTGGAACTTTGGCTTTTCAAATCATTCTTGCTTGAAGAATAAGGGATAGGATGAATTATCAGCCACCAATTAAAATACGATTTATAAGAAAACACACTCTAATCCAACCAAGAGTACAGAAATTTAGCCGCTTCCTCGACATTCAAATTCCTAAAGTATTCTAAAATTCAAACCTCTAGAATAGGGGGAAGAATCCAAGCTGCTTTTAAGAAAAATAAAGTGGGACTTTCTAAGCATATAAAGAGAAGAGTATATACACTAATATATCTCCCCAGTCGCCAATCCTCCAAAAACTTGAATACTTCCTCAGAACTCACCAGAAGCTTCAAGTTTAAGGAAACTAAAGAATGCCTTTGCGAGATAATTTCCAAGATCTTCCGTGAAATGATAATTATAATCTGCCATTTCAAAATAAAGCGTAATATTCAGTCTCAAGACACAGCATTAGTCGAGTACTCTTTAAACATCGTAAAAATTTTGCCCAAAAAGCTTTGAATACAGTTAGTTAGGTGTACAAAATTTTCAATAAACAGCTTCTAATTCAAACAAAAATACATGTTCATAGACAAAGGAGCTATACCATATGAATCAAAATGCATCAAATATAAAATCTGCATCATGAAAACCTGAGAGGTAACACATAAAGCAGAATTTACAATGTATATAATAATGAACAACCATTACATTTATAAAATGCAAGTTAGATTCAACCTTAGTTATCAAGTTGTACATAATAATGAACATCCATAAAATGCCCACCACTCTGCCAATTGACTATGCTTTAAAGCTTTTCAAATTTTAAATAAATTGAACACAGTTTGGGCATTCATTTATTTATCACAATAGTTTCACCAAACTTAAAAATTCAAATCGCTTTCCAACCTACTCATGTAGCATTCATACCAGAATTACCAAGGAAGATCAATATATTTACAAAGGAGCCGTATTTTTACAAATATGCAAACTTATATAACATCCCCTAAAGTATATCCAAAACTTGTTAAACATATCCAACATGAAATAGAGTTTTCAAACATGGAAATGCATCCTCTTTCTAGACATCTATAAAGGATTTAGAGCATTGAACCTACTTGATGGGGGAGAAAGATATTCGTAACTAGGGGTGAAAGTGACTTCAAGAGGACTTGAGAAGGGGACCTACTTTTTCTGTTACTTTTCACTCTAGTGGTGGACGGTATAAGTAAACTTGTTGCTAGAGTAGTGGAGGACAGGTTGTGGAAGGTTTAGAAATTGGTAGAACAAAGTAACTATCCCTCATCTCCAACTAGCTGACACAATTTTCTTCAGCCCGGAGATGATTCCAAATTCCTCTATTCAGGTGGTGCTGTTGTTTTGTGACATTTCTAAGTTTAAAATAAACCACAAAAGAGCGCATTGTTTGGGATTAATATGTTAATAATAGATCTGTTTATTTTGCTTCTACAACGGGTGGTGAGGTGGTGAGATGGGAGATGAAATATTTGGATTTAACTTTGGCAGGCAATTCAAGAGCAGGTGTATTATAGAATCCTGTAATTGAAAAGGTTGAGAAGTGATTACATGGCTGGAGGAAAGGTTGCTTATCTAATGGTGGGCAACTCATCCTCATCTAATTAGTTCTACCTAGCATTCATACCTGTTTCCTTTCTTTATTTAGTTAATCAATGCAGCATTAAAGAGGCTTTAAGAATCTTCTTTGGGAAGAAATGGGTGAAGGCAAAAGACTACTTGGTTAATTGGAAGGTAGCATCTCAACCCCATAGCAAAAGGCTATTAGCGGTAGGTAAGAACATTTTTTATTCATGATCCAAAGACAGTTTTAAAAATAAGGATCCAAACCAAAATTTGAGTTGTATTCTTGATATTTTTAAAATGTAAAAATACATTTGATATAATATTCAAAAACTGTTTTCAACTTTAAAACATTTTTTATATAATATCTTTAAACAATGAAAATCTGAATATTTGTTTGGTTAACATGTTGTTTAAAACACTATTTTTCACCAAATTTTTTATATAAACATAATTATAACATATTTTAATAACGTAAAACATGAACCAGCAGTCAAGCATTTTTTTTTTTATATATATACTGTGCCACATCTATGACTAAAACAAATTTAATAAATAGCTTTACATTCTTAGGGTAAAATCTAAAAATTATTTTAAATCCATAAATAATAGATTAAAGAATTGTTATCAAATACTATATTTCAATTTCAAGTAAACCTCAAGGGTACACAGATAAAAACTTACTAATGATTTGTGCATTGCAATATCGTAAGTGTTGTAAAAATCTATCTAATCATGTAATGATGAAAAGTGAATAAATTTGATAAAGATGAAAATTGAATTCAAGAAATCAAAGATTTGTTGGAGATATGGCAAAGTGGTATATTGGGTTTTAATATTTAATAAAATGTTAGTGATTTAATGGTCAAGAAAATATTTAGGTGTTCTAAAACACAAAAATAAGTTTTTTTGGTTCTTGAATACAATCTAGATAAAATTTGATAGAATACTAAGAAAAGGTACTTTCATAGTTTTCTAAAATTTAACTCTAGAGTTGTATCCAAAAAGAATTTTCAAAAATATTTCAAACAAACACATTTCTAAGATTCTTTGTATTCCTAGAATTTAGAAACAAAGACTTGTATTCGGATTCTATATCATCTATTTTTTTCCAAAGAGATTGGAACCTGCCTGAAAAATGATCACGGAGATTTCCTCTTGAGACAAATTTCCTCGAGCAAATTGTTAAAAAAAGAAAATACAGACTAGAATGGTTGGGGTTCCAAAGAATTTATTAGAGGTTCTTCTTGATGTCCTTGGGCCTAAATGGGGGAAATCTTTTGTGATCTTTCTCCTTGAGTTTACTAACTTTCAATAAAGCATAATGCTTCTATTATTATTATTTTAGGTGCTAGAAAACAATGCTTCTACGTTGTCCCAACCCAAGGAAAACATCAAACCTAAAAACACAAAAACCTCTATTCAAAGTTTTCACAAAAATGGAGAGTTGTCCCAAGAACCCCAAGGCTCAAAAACTAGACACGATGAAAAAACATCTCTTATCCAGATCATCAAAACCAAAAACATCAAAAACCCCTATTCAAAATTTTCACAAAAATCTTCCTCAGCAAGGCATAATGCCTCTATTGCTAGAAAAACAATTGTTGCTCTTCCATTAGGGGTGGGATCTCAAATTTAGAGGTAGTTTGAAAAATTTAACAACTTTATAACGTGCTGACCTTCTAGGCTTTTTTTGATAGAGTTTCCCTCGACAATAAGAGGTAGGATAGGAGACCTTGGATACATAAAAATATCTTTTTTGTTATTCTTTTTAAGGTAAGATTTTTAACTTAAAAACTATTTAACACATTTAAACTTTTGTCAATATCAAGCAAATCCTACTTTAACACATTTTTCAACTCCTCAAGTCTTATTTGGAAGGTAGAAGTCCCTTACCAAGTGAACATTTTGGCTTGGACATAGCACAAAAAGATAACATCAGTTACTTACTTCAAATTAGAAGACCCAAGGCATGCCTATCTTCTAATTGGTACATTATGAGTAAAAGAAGACTAGCAGGAAAAATGAGCCTATCCCCCTATTCGTGTGTTAGGTGCAAAAATGATGCAGAATGCTCTGACCATTTGTTCCTTCATTGTCCATTGGCTTCATGGTTGTGGGCAAAAATTTGTAGTGGAACCAATGTTCCATGGGTTACTCCCTACATCTTGCTCTATTTAAAGTAAGCAATGCAATGTAGATTCATATATCAGAGCTACTTTCATTCATTTTACCAAAACAATTAGTTTAAATATAAAACAATATTGGCTTACAACTGCCAAGAAAATGATATACATTTCTCACACTACAACAAAATACATAACGGTACAGAAAATAATTCATACAAGGACACTGGAGTTGCAACAGATCCAGGTAATTGGCAATGAATAAACTAAAATTACTAGTGAATATTCATTGATCCTTTAAACTATTAGCTATATTTTGAACTGAACTAGGCAAAGCATTGATACTACGATATATGACTGAATATTCTATCAAAACTAAGAAAAGAATATCAATCACGAGGAAAGCAAACAAAAATTAGGGCTACAAACAAAACAAACTAACTGGAAGGCGAAAGTATTAAGTAACTTAGTACCTGTTCCCTCTAAGACTGATCTGGAGACAAACCACTTGCACAGGTAGATGCTTGTAGAGGAAAAGCACATGACTGAAATGAACCATTTGAGAATGTTCTCGATTCCCTTGAACAATTTAAAGATAATCCAGCATCTGGAGGCTGATTTTGATTGGGAATTCTTTCATACAGAATCTTAGGTCTACCATTTGGAACTCGTTTGGAGCTTGGATTCCTCTTTCTATACTTCAACAAATAGCGATCAGGCTTTCCATCACATGTTTCAACCTTGCATTCAGTAGATTCATATTGATTATTATGACAAGATCTAGACTCAAAGTTTGTACTATTTTCATCTCCACTTGACTTTACCAATTTGTTTGAACAGCTCCCCTCTCCCTCCTTCAGTTGCACTCCTATATCCTCATCTTTAACACATAGCAAAGGATCTAAAACATTTCTATCCAGATTCTCATTCATCTTCTTATTAGCACAAACCTCAATCTCACAAGAAACACTAGGATTCCCTGAATCTGAGCATCTAAGAACCAAATTATCATTAAACTCCTGTATCTTGGGAACACTGGAAGAACTCGATTTCACAGCACATAAATTCTTTGAAATCCTCCGCGAGCTATTCATTGCCCGGTGCAGCTTAAACGCCAACTCAGCATCATCAACAACCTTCTTATCATTACAATCATCGCCCTCCCTCTTTACCTCCAAATTCAATGCATTACTTTCCATCTCCATTGGCATCTTTGCCACCTCCATCAGCTTCTTTGCCGCCATCGGTGGAGCCATCAAGGCCAACACAACTGTCCTCTCCAAAGCAAAATTGGGGTCCTTCAAAGATTGGGCGTCATTGAAAACCTTAGAATGGCTACTATAGTTCCTACCAATAAAAAACCCTCTCCTTTTTATCATTGATTCAGGGACCCAACAGTCAACACAAACTGAAAAGTCCATGGAAGAAGAAGAAGAATACGACCAAGGAGAAACAGTTCTGTACTTTAAAAAGCAAGTTCTATGAACACAACGCTTACATTGAGAACAAGAAAACGAATCATTTGTAGTTTCATTAAAGCAATAAGAGCAAATTAGGGAGGATTCAACGCGAGAAAGACATCTATTGCAAAGAAGAACAATTCGCCATTCACTGTATAAAATTTGAATTCTGTTCTTACCGGAACAAGCATCGGTTCGAAAACCACAAGTTTGGCATTCTGATAAATTGGGTAAGTCTCTGGTCTTCTTGTTCTCACAAATTGGTAATGCCAAGTTTGACTTGAGCTTCTTGTTGGTGGATTCTTGATGTTGTTCATAACCATTCTTCATATTCAATGATTGATTTTCCAGATTTCAGGGTTTTGGCTTCTTAATATTGATTATAAGCCTCTTCAATGTTCATGGCTAAATACTGTTTTTTCATGTTTATTTCGGAGTCAACCACTTTTTCCCACCCAAATAATGGCCAAATAACATTTTCCACCCAAAAAGTTTCAAAATACAATTTTATTACCCATAGCAAAGTTTCGTTAGTAAATTTCGTTGTGGAAAAGGGCAGGATAATCAAATGTCTATTATAAGTAAGGGTAGGATGATTAATTAACATTATGCAAAACAACTCAAACCCAAGTCATCAAATTGGTGAAACCCTAGAAGGAGGAGGGCAATGATCAGTGAGCAATTGGTGTTGCGGATGACAGGGGCTTTGGAGCGGAGGTGTCGGCGAAGCTAAAGGTGGTGATGGGGGAATTTTCGGTGTTGGGAATGGCCAAAAAAGCAAGAAAATCGCAAGTCAAACCCTAGAGTTGTGGCCGACGAACAGCGGGATGAACGAGTTGATGGAGATATGGGTTTTGGTGAGGGGGTTGTGGGTAGTAAGGTGGTGGTGACGAGGTTGGTTAATGATGTTGGACACCGGGCCAATTTGGCCTAGCTCGACGATCATGAGTGGTGGGAGTTTTCATGCAAATTGGCGCAAAAATCAGCCACATTTATTTAGAGGATAGTGACGTTGATTGTATCTTGTTAGAAGAAATTCATCCACAATTCTTTTAGGGTACTAATTAATTTTCGAAAATATTTTTCTTGGTGGATAGGCATCGGGTGGGTGGCTATGATATGTATGGCAGCATAATAGGGTTTTCCTTCTCCATGCCTAAATATTATTCCTTAAGTATTCACTGCAATTCAATCCAGCATCAAAATCATATGTTTTTGTTTTTCAGTTGTTTTCTTTGATGGGTTCCTATTAGATTTTTGAAAGTTTTGATTATTTTTTTCATCTTTTGGGTTCTGGGTATGTGAAAGCTCATTTTTTTTTTTTTTTTTTTTTGGTGGGGGGTGGTGTAATTTTCTTTTTTGTATAGTTAATTGAGTTTAGAGTTAACCTAATTGTGAGAATTGATTCGATGAGCAGAAAGGTAAATGGTGGTGGTGGTAGTGGCTAGATGGTGGTGGCAATGGCAGTGGCTAGGTGGTTGGGGATGGGGATGAACTTACAAACTAAAAAAATGTTTTCGCTAAAAGCAAGATAATAGGGTCATTTATAACTTCAAACTATAGAACCGCAACCTACCTAGAATCGGCCTTCACAAGATCGATTCCGGTTCCAATTATTTGGAACTGTCATTGTACAAGTTTGGGTCGGTTCCAGTTTTTGGATATGCAGGAACCAGAACCAGACTCAAAACCTAGAATGGGAACTGAGGTTGAGTACCTGGGATGGAACATGTCCTGAAACCGGGATTGGCAGGTGTCTATTGTAATTTTGCATATAAGAATTAAAAATAGAATGAATCTCCGTGGGTGACATGCCAAAGTGGGTGGAGGCCCCCACTTGGTTAGTACATACATTATTATTAAATATTATATGTTTTATATATATATATATTATAATGTTAATTAAGTGTATCATTAAAATTATGATCCAGTTTTAATATTATTAAAAGAATATTTTTGAATCAAATAGTATATTAGTAATTAAATATAATAAATTATTGAACATTAGTACATAACTTAATTAAATGATTACATATTTAATTTATTATAACATTATAGTATGACAACTCATGGGGTCATGGTATATTAAGAAATATAAGTGTTTTGTGATCAAACTTAAATTAATGACATAAAACAAACTTATAGTTATACTAATTATTTAATTAAAGATTCATAAATCATATTAATATTAATATTTAATTTGATTCTTTTGTCACAATTAATGTTAATTTACCTTATCGGTAAATTCAAAAACTTCATTTCCACTCTAGTAATTATAATTTTATATAATATTATAAACTGTCAGGGGCGTAATTGTAAATTTTTAGGGTGTATTTGTAATTTTTTAAATTAATAGGGGGTAATTAAGTTTTACAGGGTATCCGGGTAAGAAATCAAAACCTGCATTTCAGGTTCCAGTTTTAGGAACCTAAGAACCTGAATTGACTGGTTCTGGTTTTGGTTCTAGTTTCTCCAAAAATTGCAAGGTAGTTGAAACTGCTTACCCCTAATCTCATTTATATGATACATGCATGTGTAATATGAGCATATTTGATGCAAATTTGATGAGTTTGAAAATGATGAATTCGGCCAAACATTATTTGGATGCATAATGAATTTTGAATGCATGTTGGAGAGTGTTATATGTGATATAATAGATTATAAATGCATTTGGCTTGAATTGTATTGTGAATGCAAGTTGGTTGATTCATCTTTAGGTAAATGATGATGAACTTAATTTTTTTTTTTAAGTTTTGATGACGGTTAATGTTGATTAAATAAAGGTAGAATGTATGGCACGTTTGAGCTCTTGATTCAACTTTAGGTAATTACTAATATACTAATTATCCTTTTTTTAAGTTGTGAATGCAAGTTGGTTGATTCATCTTTAGGTAAATGATGATGAACAATCTAATTATCCTTTTTTTAAGTTGATTTTTTTTTTTTTTTCATGTAATTGATGTTATTTCCTTTTTATTGTGATTTATATATATATTCGGTAGGGATGATTATGGGTGAATTTATTTTTTCCTAAATAATTGATTTTGGGGTTGTAATATTCATGCATAATTGGCATGTAATAATAATTAAGGTTGTTTTTGTTTTATTATTTTGAGTAGTGTTTTAAAAAAAATTGAGTTGGGTTATTATTATGAGGATGGGATTTGAATTTGAAAAGGTATTTGGTAAGATTATTTTTAATCCTCTACATTTGTTAATTTTGTTAAACACTCCCTACAATAAAAGTTTGAAAACTAACTAAAACACCCTATCCATCCACCCATTAACGGAATGACGCATGACCGGTTGGATGTGGCCGGTTGGGGGTGTTTAGTTAAATTAACAAATCTAGGGGGTTAAAAAAAATCTAAATAATTTGAGTTGAATAACATATGATTGGATTTTGAGAACAGGAAAAAAATATGTATTTTGGGTAGGATAAGAATAGGATAGGAAAAAATAATAAAACAAATGCAGCCTTAAGTTTAATTTTTGGTTGATTTGTAAATTGGGCCTACGTGCCTTAGCATGTATTGTGTAATCGTTTGACAAACGACTGGATAGAGATCCAAGGAGCCACTGGATGGAGATCCAAGAAGAAAAAATATTAGACTAGGTGAATAGTTCACTTAATTAGGATTGTATTTTCAAAACCCCATGATCACCCTGATTTATTTTATGTTTGTATGGATGCATATGAATGATATGTATGTGACAGTCTATAAAAAAAAAAAAAAAAAAATGTTAACGTAAAGGTTAAACCTAAATCTCCCTTAGGAAAAATATTAAATCTGAGCTTTCCGTTATAGGCTGATTAATTCTTTGACATAAACATGGATATCCCAAGATTTTTATTATGTGAGGGATACCATTTTTTTGATGTAGAATTAATTTTCTTAGTTCTTGGATAGAAATTTGTACCGTACCTAAGATTTCTATTATGTGGAGGTATGATGAAAATTCTATTTTAAGAAAGTACAATGGGTTAGATTTAACTAGTCTAGAGTATCAAATTTTTTATTATGTGAGATATCCGAAGCTAGAGGCAGGTTTACGAATCATATCTTACATAGTGATGTAAAAGGAAATGGTTTATTACTTATTGGACTTAATGAGCCAAGATTTCTATTATGTGAGGTTTCATTAAATTTAATGAGAATTTGATTCTCTACTAGAAATTTGTTCCAATGAAATTTCTCAATCTCCATTCAGGGGAGTATGAGTTTCAAATAAAATAATGGGAGCTAATATGATTAACATTAAGGGTGCGTTTGGTTCAACAAATGTTATATTACTGAGAATGTTATATAAATGGAAAGATAGATTATCTTGAAGATTATTGGGAATGTTTATGGAAATGTGTTTGGTTGGTTGGAATAAATTGGTAGGTATATATATGTTATATTAATATGTTTGGTTAGGAGGAATAGATTGGTGGGTATGTTATATAATTGACTAAATTGCCCTCCTTTTTAAGTATTAATATAATATTATTTTTTGAATAATTCTTTTAACCCCTTACATTTCAGATTTAGCTAAAACACTCCAGCAACAAATAAAGTTTAAAACTTAACAAAAACACCCCCACCCACCCCAAGCCACTGCTAACGGTTTGCCGCCACCACCGATGGTGGCGAAAGTGGAGATCTGACTGTGAAACGACGGTCGTTTCACGGCCAGATCTGTGGCCGTGAAACATCCACATATTTGGCTGTGAAAGGATAGATCTGGCTATTTTTGGCCATGGATCTATGGCTGAAAACAACCTTATCGACACACGACCGACCATAAATGGTCGGTCCTATGCCATTCCATTGCTACTGGCGGTGGTTTCCGGCGGATGGAGTTGGTGGTCAGATCCAACCACCACCCTTGGGTAATTTGTATAATTTTAGGGATATTTATGTCCTAAAAACTTTGTATATAAGGATAAAATAGTCAATTGGTATTTTTGCAAATTGTTTTTAAAACAAGGGCATTATTGTTCTAAAATTTTATTAATAAGGGATAAAATTGTAACAAAAATAAGATAATCAAGCAATTTTAAAATGCATAAGAAAATGAAGGTAATTAGATTTCCTCCAAGAAAATTGGAAGATTACTGGAATCTTATATTACTTGACAACCAAACGTGGTAACCAAGTAATATAAGATGGCATTACCTCAGTAATCTCATATAGCCCCCAACCAAATGCACTCTAAAGGTTTAAATATAACAAGACACTAATAAAACCTTTTATTTCTTTGCAGCATTTCTATAGTGTGATAGTAATTGAAAATAAGCAACAAAATACTTTTAATGATTCTAGATGAAATAGATTGATCGGAACCAATTTCAACAATTGGTTAACAAACTTGAGAATTTTTCTCAACTTTGAAAAGG